TCGTGGAGCAGTACGTTTCAAATTTTGACTCAACCTTGTTTCGATCATCTTGTAGTCAGATACATTGATAATTCGACAATAAGTTTCTCATTGTACAGAAAAGACCACCTTCAGACCTCCGTTTCTCAAGTCTTTACAGACTTGGACTTAAGTGGCAGTCCAGTTGAACTGGAACTTGTTTTTCGTTGGTTCTCATCCTGCCTCACACATTGAGTGTCTGGCCCTGCCTTTTTCCTCGTTGTGCAAGCTTGCTTCGCATTTTTTCATAGTCCAAGTCTCCACCGGATTTTTAATCACAGCTAGCCTTTTCGCATTAGCATATGTACAGAAAAGTTTTAATCGATCCGACGTTTCTCCACTTACCGTATTTTCCAACTAGATGAAACAGCACGTTACGATGATTGTTTGCGACAAAACGGCTTTCAAGTGGGGGGTCACCCGGTATCCGAGGCTTTTTGACCACCTGTGAACTTGTCGCTTTCTGCCTGCACTTGTGCTTCCTTTTTCTGACCCTGAGTCAGTACCCGATGTGCACCAAATTCGAGATTGTGTATCCGCGGGATCTGCCCGTCTCAGAATGAGTGGACTCAAAAATCCGGGCTCATCTAATTCGAATAATACGTTGAAAGACGCACTGTTGAATATCTTCAACCTGACATTCGTCAGATTAGAGATTGCGTCTCTGCGGGATCACTCCGACTCAGAATGAGTGGATTGAAAAGCCGGGCTAATTTAATTCAGAAATACACGTATCCGACCAGTTTGATTTCCAGTAGCTTGACGCAGCTGGGCGTCTTATATGTACAGAAAAGGTTTTTCACAACCTGACGTCGATCAAGCACTTAACCAGCGCAACTAAATATTGCTGCTGTCCGTTTTGCCCCGATATCTTCATGGACCTGCATTTCTGTCATTACATTTCTTGCCTCTATGTTGGCTCTTTTTTGCAATGCCTTCCTGATTCGCCTCTCAGACTTTCGCCATGAAATCACTTTGGAGTTTGCGGGACCAGTTTTTTCACGATCACCGTTGCTGAAAGCAACGGATACTATGTTTTGGCGACATACGGCCTTAGTGTGTGGGGGCAACCCCTGTTCCGAAGGGCTTTCATCACATGTCCAATTTTTAGTTTCAGTTCCCAATTTACAGGCAGGGGTCACTCCGACTCAGAATGAGTGGATTGAAAAGCCGGGCTCATTTAATTCGAAAATACACGTATCCGACCAGTTTGATTTCCAGTAGCTTGACGCAGCTGGGCGTCTTATATGTACAGAAAGATTTTTCCCAACCTGACGTCGATCAAGCACTCAACCAGCGCAAGTAAGTATTGCTGCTGTCCGTTTTGCCCCGATTTGTTCATGGACGTGCATTTTTGTCATTGTATTTTTGTCATTACATTTCTTGCCTGTATGTTGGCCCATTTTTGTAATGCCTTCCTGATTCGTTTCTCAGACTTTCGCCATGGAATCATTTTGAAGTTCGCTGGAACAGTTTTTTCAAGATCACCGTTGCTGAAAGCAACGGATGATATATTTTCGCGACATACGGCCTTTGTGTGTGGGGGCAACCCCTGTTCCGAAGGGCTTTCATCACATGTCCAATTTTTAGTTACAGTTCCCAATTTACAAGCAGGGGCACACGGCATCCTTGACCCACCGTGTGCAACGAAGCTACGGTCTTGGATGGGATATCAGGGCTGATCACCCTGACGTACCTGCAGTTGGCCACGATGTTCTTTCATTATCCAAGCTTTTTGATGACTTTCCGGTTATTATTTTTTATCATATGCATGAATAATTCGAGAAATCGGAGTCCGTTACGCATTTTTCCGTATTTACCCATTTCTGCGACTTTTGTCCAATGTGGACAAAGACGGCCTTCCTGAACTAAGCATGTAAACAGCAGAATCAGTTCAGGTGCCCTGTTGGGAATGAAAAGACTCATAGACGAGATACGGTCTTTCAAGTGTGTGTGTGCGCCTGCCACCGGCGCAGTGAAGCGGATTGATTGTCAGATTCCTGGTCTCTGTGCTGTCACCCGTGCAGTTTACCAGAGTGATGGTTGGATCCTTGATCTTTGCACCTGCCACCCATGCAGTACCAGATCGCGAGTCAGGTTTTGCATTTATTGCCACTTCACTGAGTCCATGCCACCTTTGTCGTCGCGTTTCTTTGCACCCAGGCCGTCGTGACGGTTCAATATATCACTTCAGGCTTTGCGGTCGTCGTTTTGCTTTAGTGGTTTTCAGGCTGGTTCGTCTTAGGATCGTTCCCTTTTCCGTGCCATGTTGTCATTCATACTTTTGCTTTGGTTTGCGCCGTGCGTGCTTGAACCGCTTTTGATTATGTGTCAAATTCAGCGCTGTGACTTGCTGCTGTTTGCCGACACGTTTTGCGGATCAGTCTTTCCCGCCTTTGTTCTTGCTTTTCTTTTCGCCCACAATGTCGTGATGTTTCAATATGATGTTTCAGTTTTTTGTGGTCATGTTATGTTGAGTGGTTCTCACGCCGGCTTGTCCTGAGATTGTTCCCTTTGCCTTGCCATGTTGTTTGTCATATATTTGTGTGGGCGCGCGCTGCGCTTGATCAAACAGGGTATGCGTCGAATTCAGCATTGTGAGTTTTTTCGTTTGCCACGTTTTTTGCGGATCTAATTTTTGCAATGATTGGTATTGGACGCCAATTTCCGCTTTGCGCAAACATCTCAAAAAGACATCTCAAAAGCACAAAACAAACTTCTCAAGAATCTCACAGACACTGGCCAAACTTCTTAAACATGTCAAAGACACAAAACAAATTTCTCAAACATTTCAACAACACAGAACAAACATCTCAAACACCTCAAACTGTGTAACAAAGGGATCGCATACGTCTACTTCATGACGAAACTGTCTTTCTAAAGTACTGTAACGCATCCAAAGGACACTGGTCTCACACGTATTGTCTGCGTTTACAATCATCACGATCATTATCTGAATGTCAGAGTTTGAAATACAGAGAAACGGGACACTAAGCGAAACCGTCATTGAATCATTTAGATAATGTTGCACACGGGCATATGAAACATTCCTATGCAAAGCTGTACCTATCCCTGGTCTCTGCGCCTGCCACCGTGCAGTTTACCCGAGTGATGGTTGCATCCTTGGTCTCTGCGCCTGCTACCCGTGCAGTTTACCAGAGCGTTTGTCATATCTTCTGCGCCTGCCCCCTAGCAGTTGGCCAGGTTGATTTTCAAAATGTTGGTGTCTGCGCTTGCCGCCGGTGCAGTTCAGCAGATTGATTGTCAGATCCCTGGTCTCTGCGCCTGCCACCCGTGCAGTTTACTAGAGTTTTCGCCCACAATGTTGCGATGATTCAATCTATGACGCTGCAGGTTTCGTCGGTCATGTTGCGCTGAGTGGTTCTTACGCTGGCTTGTCCTGAGATTGTTCCCTTTGCATTGCCATGTTGTTTGTCATATATTTGTTTTGGCGCGCTCTGCGCTTGATCGAACAGGGTATGCGTCGAATTCAGCGTCGTCAGTTGTTTTCGTTTGCCAACGTCTTTTGCGGATCTAGTTTTTGCAATGATTGGACATTAATCTCATACACATGTTTCACGACGAAACTGTCTTTCTAAAGTGCTGTAACGCATCCAAAGGACATTGGTCTCACATGTATTGTCTGCATTTGCAGTCATCACAATCATTATCTGAATGTCAGAGTGTGAAATACAGAGAAACGGGACACTAAGCAAAACCACCATTCAGTCGTGAAAAAGGTTTTCGTGCATTACGTACAATCGTACTCTGATTCGACGCCAATCGTATTACTCGTACATCTTTTACTGGGTCGCTGTCACCCATGTCTCTGCTGCTTTTAACCCACGATGTCGTAATGGTTCGAGATGACTCTTCAACTTTCGTCGGCCGTCTATTTGTCAGTCGTCTGCAAGCCCACGTGTTAAGATTGTTGTCTTTACGTTGCCGTTTCGCTCAAGATCTTGTTTTGGTTTCCACAGTGCTTGGTCTAACCATTTATGCATCGACTTCTTTTTTGCCACGCCTCCCCCCACCTGCAAAGTAAACCTACAAGTATATGAGTGCACCATATACTGCGTTTAAGATCATTTAAGTCCTTCTGCCCAAAAAAAAGCTTATGCCATTAAAAACATCAGACCCCTCTGAAACTTCACAAAGCATCTGCACCCGAACTTTCCGGAACCTTACCGAGTACCTGCACCCGAACCCTCCGGAACCTCACCGGCTATGTGCACCGAAACCCTCCGGAACCTCACCAGGTACTCGTACCTCTTTCTGGAACCTTACCGAGTATCTGCACCAGGTATCTGAAGTCTCACCAGGTATCTGCACCGAAACCCTCCAGAACCTCACCAGGTATCTGCACCTGGAACCCTCCGGAACCTCAACAGGTATCTGCACCGGAACCCTCCAAAACCTCACCAGGTATCTGCACCGGAACCCCAGAACCTCAACAAGTATCTGCACCGAAATCCTCCAGAACGTCACTAGGTATCTGCACCAGAACCCTCTGGAGCCTCAACCTCACCACGTATCTGCGCCGGAACCTTCCAAAACCTCATCAGGTACCTGCACCTGAACTTTCTGGAACCTTGACGAACCCTCCGGAACCCCACCGGCTATCTGCCCGCAACCATCCGGAACTTCACCAGCTATCTGCGCCGGAACCATCCGGAAGAACCTCACCAGGTATCTGCACCGGAATTGTCCGGAACCTGACCAGAACCCTCCGGAACCTCACCAGGTATCTGCACCGGGAACCCTCCAGAACCGCTGCACCGGAACCCTCGAGAACCCTCCGGAACCTTGCCCGGAACCTGGTGTTGAAGCCGCACCGGATCTTACCAGAGCTAATCTGGGCTAAAGACCCCATAGCAAAGTTTGCTGTTAAGGAAAAAAGACGAAAATGAAGCAAGGACTATCATGGAAACTAAAGTATTCCTGTACGCTCCGATGGTCGAATCGTCGCTAAGTCGAGCATCAACAAAAGGCTGCAAGATGCAGCATCGGCCACATTCGCCAGCGGCGCATTCCACGGAAGGAAACGCACTTGAATCAAAACCGAAATCAGCATGATCCCCATGAGCCCAGTCATTTGCAAGCCTGTACGAGTCGCAGGTTTGCAAAACCCCGAAACAGAAGGTGTCCAAAAATTGACAGGTTTCCTATTCAAATAATGACCTTTTTAAAGCAGTACGGACAAATGCCAGAATGCAGTTCATACTTTCTATTTCTGTTTCAATCCAACCCCAATTTACACACTTAGCAGAAATGACCATCACAAAAACAATCATTTCGAGGTTTCCCAAACCTGGCAGCAAGTTAGCTCCCCTCCTGGCAGGTTGGCTGCAACAATAGCAGGTATAGAGAGGAGCGGCCCGCGGACCAAGAGGATAATGCCTGGCAGCACAGGGTGGGATTCAATGGTCTTCCAAGCTTGTACTGTAGATTTTGGATGTCAGGGAACATGAGCTGATGAGGCTCACTGCTCTGCAACTCCTGAAACATCACATGACGGCACCGGAAACAGCTCAGGATGTCTCATGTCTCAAAGGGGGTCCAAATCAAGCTAGAACATCCTGCCAAGAATATCTCCCAATGGCCTAACTCTGCCAAGGTGCCATACCACCAAACATCTGGCCGAAAGCGGTCGATGAGAAAACGAATGCATGACATTCGAACCTCAAAGGTGTGGCAAGCGGGGCACATCTCCAAGAATGAAATAAACCCATGCTTGATGGTTTCAAGCCATCCAACAATCTTGGTTGGGACACTATGAACAAAAAAGAACCCTTGAATACTAACTGGAATGCAACAAAGGATGGAATATGTGATTTAAAGGAATCAGAGTGGGCAACTCTTTTTTTGACCCTGGATTACTTTTTTTTAACCTAGTCGTACATTATGTAGGAACAGCTCCTGTTGCATCCCAGTAACAGGGGAATCTGACCAGGCAGGGGCTTTCAGCGCAGCATAGCTGCATAACGCCAGGAAGACCATGCACAACAAACCTGGCTGAGTGAACCCATGAGACGACCGGCGATGAAGTTGGGATGATCAACATGTGGTTTTTACATCCGTAAAAAAATGTTGAAAGATTCCGCTACAGTGCAACGAGATCCAAGATTTTTGTGGCGATCCGAAATTGTACAAGACTCCATGCCAGGGAACCCAAGATCGCGCCAAAGACTTGCATGTTCCGATGCTCCGCGGAGCCGCACAAGATGTTGGTGGCGGTCAGCAGACTCTCTGAACCATTCGGATGCGTGAAACAACTGAAGGGAATGAAGGCAATGTTGCTCATCATGATGTAAGCCTCTTGCCTCAGTGGCGAAGCTGCTAAGCTAGGTCTGTTTACTGCAAAGCGACGGTTTATTTTTGGAACTACAATCTGCCCAGCTGTGATCAGACAGATGTGCTGGCCCCCCAATCCATGAACTCAACTGGCAGGTCGCAAAAGGTGCCCCAGCATGTTGCAGGTTGCAGTTTTGGTCCATTTCAGGTGGAGAAAGCGCTTGGGGAAAGGAATGATCTGGGTCAAACCTTGCACCACAAAGCATCCCGCAACCTGGTCGTTCAGCGGAATCCATGCCATCCAAGACTACATGGCTGGAATCTGTTTTGCCATAAAAACCCATAAAAACATTGATGAAGACGGAAGGAACATTGCACATTTGGGAACGGCCCATGAATTTGAGAGGATTTCAATTTTCACATCATGATGGATAGCATCCACGGCCAAATTCTCGCACTGGCGCCAAGGTCCGGCAATTGAACAGATCTGGTGCAACTCAAAGATTGTTTCTGAAGGATTCCTTTCATTTGTGGTGTTGGAGGGACTTGGAGCATGCTCCAGAGCTATGTTCAAATTATATTGGAACCTTTCTATGGAAAATTGCTCCTTTATAGACCCTGTCCTATTAAAATGGTAAATGCCCATAGCAAACTGCAAAGTTTCCACCAAAAAAATATGACATTTTGCAGACCAGTGACCAAGATTGGAAAGAAGAAGCTCTGAGCCACGTAGCTCCTCAAAGAAGTTCCAGCCAAACAGCCCAAGCCCAGGCTTTCAAAGCTCAATCCGAAGACTTCAAAGTAGCTCCTCGCGTGATCAAAACATCAGCCCATCCCGGTGCCATTGGACTTCCTCCACGTTGATTCGCTGGGCTGGCTGCTCCCATTCTGAATCCTACTCAGGTTTAAGTAAAATCGGGATATGCATATAATCATATATAGTGGCAGTGCTAGTAGCGAAAATTATGGTAATTCGTGGTAAATCCATGTAAACCCTAGGGCCCAATGGGTTCAGCGGCCAGCCAATGCTTTCTGACATTGCCTTTTGTGTCAAGTTTCAATGCCACTGCAAGACCTTTGGGCCATTCAACTGCCACAGATTGCACCACGGCAATAATCCTTGTTGGCAGCATCGATGAACATCGATGAGTTGGGAAAAAGCGCCAAATATCTGTGAGTTGGAGGGTCTTTAAGTTCAACGTATGTATGTATGTATGTATGTATGCATGCATGCATGCATGCATGTATGTATGTATGTATGCATGTGTATATATATATATATATATATATATATATATGGGCGGTTGATCTAAACTCCCTTTTCTGCAAACGGCCATTCTTCGCAAATAACAATTTACTTTTGCAAATCTTTCGCGAATCCCACGCTTATCTTTCGCGGGGGTCTCATGTTGGAAACCTGGCGGCCTTTGTAATGGGCAATGTCTACATGGACCTTTAGATCAACAATCAACAATTATATATATAGATATGTATATATGTATATGTTCCCCGATCTAATGATGGCTTAACCCTACAAACTCCCCTTTGATGGTTAAACCGCCTTTCTGAATATTGGAGGAATGGGATCACTTACTATCCTTGGCAATAAGTTTCTATGAGCGTATCTAAAAGTAGACGTTGCCTCAGCCGAGGAGCTCACAGAAGACCAGAATGAGGCCAAACAATTGGAAAATGCACGAGGCAGCTGTCGCCCTGACGCCGTGTTCTTTATTGGACATGTAGTAGGAGCAAATGATCAAGATGAATATCAGCGGACATGCCAAAACCCATAGCGCCTAGGCGTGCTGAAGCAGTGGCATGGTGGTTGCACGTGCAGAGGACAAAGTTTCAACAAAATTTAGTTTGTAGACACGTCACAGAAAACAATCCCCAGAATGAACGATGATAATTCCCAATAATTATAATATATATATATTTATATATATATATACATGCATACATTATAAATAATTAGATATAGTTACATGTATGTTATATATGCATATGTATATATTTGTGTGTACATATCTCTACACACACACACATATATATATATGCATATAATTACGCGTATATATATATATAATTACATTTAGTATATGAGTCGCGGACAAGATTACTTTCTACTCGCAATGGACATGGGCAAAGTTGGTGGTCCCCTATCGGTATTGAAGGTTTGTGCTTCCAAACTATGTGTAAAAATAGGGTATCGGTAAGTGGGTGGTCCCTATCCGTTGCGAAGGCCTCACAGAAATTTGAACATCCCAAGTCCACTCCCTACTACTTTAGTTTTCGGCTAACGGCCAATTACTCATGTAATATATCTATATAGTTATTTACATACTTGTACATATATTACATTGGTAGTATGACCCCCTATTATCATCAAAAACAAGGGTTGGAAATAATCCCCTCCCGTAAAAGTACATCGATATCCCCGGCTGGCAGCAACCAAGCGGCCGAGTGCACAGGACGACAGGGTCGGCATCGCTCCTTGGCTCTATTCCTGTATGAAAAATTGTAAAGATATGGGCCGAAAAGGTCCATGGGAGTCTGAACCCGGAGTAAATACAAAGCCAAAAAAAAAATATATATATATATATATATTAATAATAATAATAATAGTAAAGTAAACAGTGCCCAAAGGAAGTTTAGAAGTCAAACTTCCGACAATATGGACAGATGAAAAGCAGAGATGGGAAGAGTCAGAGAAGAGAAGAGAAGAAGAAAGAAGAAAGAAGAAAGAAGAAAGAAGAAAGAAGAAAGAAGAAAGAAGAAAGAAGAAAGAAGAAAGAAGAAAGAAGAAAGAAGAAAGAAGAAAGAAGAAAGAAGAAAGAAGAAAGAAGAAAGAGGAAAGAGGAAAGAGGAGAGAGGAGAGAGGAAAGAGGAAAGAGGAAAGAGGAAAGAAGATCAAAAAAGTAAAAGTCTCAGAAGAAAGAAGATCCAGGTGCGCGAAAAGGTAGGAAAGTCGCGAAACACGGTGTTTTTCCAATGATTTGTGGGTCCGGAGGTTCGAAAAGTAGGCTCGCTAAAGCGGCGGGTGCGGAGCCGTGTGGTCAGATGAGAGATGAAAAGTTGCACGCCGTTGTGGCGCGAAGCACATTTCCAAGTCAAAATGTACAAAACACACCAACATCGGACCACTTTTGGAAGTTGCGATGTCGAAAAAGTGCACGCCGACGTGGCGCGAAGCACATTTCCAAGTCAAAATGCGCAAAACACCTCAGTGTCGGATCACTTTTGGGAGCTGAGATGTCGAAAAAGTGCACGCCGTTGTGGTGGAAGCGCATTTCTAAGTCAAAATGTAACAACACATGTTCTGACCACTTTTGGACGTTCAGATGCCGTTGCGCATGGCAGGCGCAAGGCATTGTACACCATTGCATGTCAAGAGTGAGCAAAAGGTGACGGTTTTGTAGCATGTCCAAAAACGATGGCAGGCGTGGGACATTTGAAGAGGATCTGCAAAGATACATCTTCCATGGCAGGCGCAGTACAAGAGACATGTTCATCAGAGATGTTAGGAGGTCCGGGCGCTGATTTCGGTTTTGGGAAGATGATTTTGCGTGACATGTGCAGCACTTCGTATGACCTGGCCTCACTTTTTCGTGGCAGGCGCAATACTTTAGACAGGTGGAGTGGAAAAATCGCAAAACGCATTGGCACGAGGCCGTCAGCTCTGCACTCAGCTTTCCATTTTTGAAGGACGTCTCGCAGAATTGTTTCGTTTTTGATGTTGTCAACTTCAAAAATTGAGGAAGTCTCGCAGAATTGTTTCGTTTTTGACGTTGTCAAATTCAAAAATTAAGGAAGTCTCGCAGAATTGCTGCGTTTTTGATGTTTCTCGCAGAATAGCTTCGTTTTCAAGCTTGCAGATAGACGGATAGATAGACAACTACAACTACAAGTACCACTACACTACACTACAACTACAAATATACTACGCTACATTACAAAACAAAACACGAATTACACTACACTACACTAATCACATCTAATTACAATACCCTACGCTAATTACACTACAACTTCTACAACAGCAACTACTATATACTGCTACTGCTGCTGCTGCTACTACTACTACTTCTACGACGACGACGACCACCACCACCACCACCACCACCGCTACAACTACAATTACAGCCACACTTCACTACCTTACACTACAAAACGCTAATAAAACTGCAGTACATTACAGCTACAAATATAAATTCAACTAGAACTACACTACATTACACAACACTACACTACACTAATTACATTACATTACATTACACTACAACTGCAACTACCACTACATTGCACTACACGACACTACGCTACAACTACAACTACACTACTTTACACTAAACTACACTACACTAGACCACACTACACGATACCACGCTACAGTACACAACACTACAGTACACTACAATACACTACACTAAGTACACCGCAAAACAACTGCAACTGCAACTGCAACTGCATTACACTAATTGCACTACATTACAACTACAACTTGCAGCTACAACTGCACTACACCACACTACATCCAGCAGTTGTGGTGAGGTGACCACTGCAACCATTGCAACCACTCCAGACAACAAAACTCCAACCACCTTTCGGTCCATCAGTGGATTCGCTCTGCCATCCGTGAGTCACAGCAACCAACCCTTCCTATAGGTTTCCTATTGTTGAAACTTCCGCAACCGCCTTGTGCGGTCCTACTGGTGCAGTACCATCAGTACCATATTTCTACCAAGTTTCGTCTTGTATAAATTCATATTTGGGGCAGTTGCCACAGGTCACTCCGATGCGCCCTGCATCACAGGTTCCCGGACGGCCACCGGGACAGTGGCCGATGCACTTGTAGATATCCAACGGGGCCTCCTTGGGCGCAGGATCCCATGGTGAAGTACAATAGCTGATTATGTGAGACAATCATTTGCCAATCTATGCACCCTTGTCCTTGTTGGTCATGGATGGTCCTGTGGTCAAATGAGTCAAAGTATCAGCTGATACATGATGATACTACCTGTGAGGGGATGAAAACCGGACCAGCTATTTTCCGGAGTGCTAAGCCATAGCATCTCACCTCTAAAAGGGAAAAAAAGCACGACTTCTCCGTGGTATCGAGCTGCTAGAGTGCTGTGATAGCCTTGCTCCACCATGGGCACCTCTTCATAGAGCTCAGATTCACCATCCTGGGTGAAATCCAATGCATGTCTGACATTTGGGGGACATACCTGGGGCCTGATCTGTACCTGATCTGCCTTGATGCTTGGGATGAAACAACGGTACCAAGCATCCAGTAGCAGTTGCACGGTGGATCCTCTGGGACATGTGAGGCCCTGGGAGCACTCCACGCAAATCCCATCATGTTCAATGGACTCGGCTCTGCCTTGGCTGGGTGAGGTCAACCGGTGCCAAGAATAAACCATCCCCAATGGGCCCAATGGGCTATGAAACTGGGACCACATTACATCCATGATCAATCAACCATCATCCATTTACTATGTTTGATCAATCAACCATCATCCATCTACTATGTTTGATGCCTATAAGTTATGCTTCACGCACTTTCGTCTTCACTCCGTACTGGAATCAAAAGGAGAGATGCGCTGATCTCGACGCGTTTGTAACACCGCCAGTCAGCACCAGCACATTCTCCATCATGTTCACATTTTGATGTGACAAAGACCGGATACCAGGATCTTGATCCCTTATTATCATCACCATGAAAAAAAAACTCATGACCAGCGGCAGACACAGTCCTGCAGCTTTTGCGCTGCCAGGAACAGTGTGGTTCGATCCTCTGGGCAGGATAAGCCTGGCGAAACACCAAATTGGAGGATAAGAAAAAAATCGGGTTTACCACAAGAAAGGAGGGATCTAATGACAATAATGCCAACACCGGATTAATAACCCCCCCTCCACCCCTATAGGATTTGATGGAATTTGATGGCTAAAATCCATTGGATTCCATGGGATTCCATTGGATTTGATGAAATTTGATAAAATCTTATGGGCCCCATAAGATTCCATTGGATTTGATGACATGTGACTGCTAAAACTCATGGGTCCCACAAGATTCCATTGGGTTTGGTGAGATTTGATTGCCAAAACTGCATGGATCCCACAAGATTCCATTGCATTTGATGAGGTTTGATTGCTAAAATCTCATGGTTCTGAGATTGATGAGACATGATGAGAAACAAATTGAATTGGACATAAGACATTTTGGTTCAAAAAAATGTAATTTCAGCACTGGAGGAGTGATGAGAAAGAAAAAGCATTGGAAATAAACAAATTTAGATTAAAAAAAAAAAGGAATTTCAGCACTGGTGCTTGATTAATCGGGGGTAGGCCAAAATGTTTATTAATCTGGGGGGACCACCTGTCTTTAAATGACAAAAAAATGGGCAGTGGTGGTTGATTAATCTGGAGGGGTTAATTAATCCTGACTTGGCATTAACTATGATAAACAGGGGCATTTGGATGATTTTGGGGTACTCCATTTTGACACAAATCATCACACCACAAGAGATTGAAGCCTTCTCAAGTTTGATTCACAGCATTTTGACGCATTTTAGTAATCATCACCGTCAGCTGCGAAGGGAATTGTGTGTCATCGCCAGTCACCACCAAGGTCCAGGTGCTGCCCAGCCACATCCTGTCTGTCCCTCGTCGCTCTGGTAAGAACCAAAACTGCAAACCTCGCAGCCGGTCTGCCCACGCACGTTGGTATAAGTACCCTTTGCACCTCAGACGCATCCAAGATCCCAGGTGAACAACTGGAGATGTTTCCCCTGAATCATCGCGCAAATCATCTTACATCATGATGGGATATGATGTGAGATGTTCAGATTGTGCTGAATCAACTCACATCAAGTGGGCCCCTGAAAAATCCCAAATCGAGAGATTTTATGCCATCCAGGCTGCATGCATCGCATTGCGTCGCACCTGCTTTGCTCTGACTGGTGCCTTCTTGGCAAATCGTACCTGGAAAGACTTGGACTGCCGGAAAAACAGCGGACGCGTCCAAAAACTGATGGTTCAAAAATAGACCATCCGGTGACCATTCTGATCCATTTTGATGGTCTCAACTTGGCGGCTCAGTGGGTTATAACCCCAGTGGGTCTTTAATCGGCGCCATGACCATCCATGGAAAGTTCGCAGCTAAGTCACACCGGTACGCTGACCCCACGCCGTCGGTGAATCTTTCAGAAAACCGTCCGGCCGGGCATTCCCTCAGATGTCATCATTCAAATGACCAGTTGGACATCGAGCATTGTTACTAATTTAATGTAACTGAGTAGTATAATATTGACATATATTGACCAGTCGCAACTGCGAGGAAGATGAATTTGAACCGTTTCCCTCCGTTGATTTTTCATCATGGTTCCACGTGCGCCGCCTGTACCTGCGACCAAAGTGGCTTGCAGATGAAAGCACCGTCCCTGGAAGATAAGAATGCACCTGCATGGTTGAAAGTGCAGGAAATCCGGGCGACAGCTCCTTGTAGCCAGTTATGTTCTTAACACTCATGATCCTCCAGCCGTCCGCCAAGCCCAGCGGATCAGCGGATCAGCGGACCTGCGGCCGCTGCTGATCAGCAGATCAGCGGATCAGCGGATCAGCGGATCAGCGGACCAGCGGACCAGCGGACCAGCGGATCAGCGGACCAGCGGACCAGCGGATCAGCGGATCAGCGGCCGCGGATCAGCGGATCGGCCCAGCGGACCAGCGGACCAGCGGATCAGCGGATCAGAGGACCACCTAGACAATCCAATCGTGTCCACTGTGCATCGTTTTAGCTAAAGGCATCGTATGGTGCAATAGCCTGGATCCTGATGCCCCATGTTTTGGAGCCCGTCATCTAGCATGTGCCCTTACACTTTGTGGGACTTGGCTCAATGAAAAGCATTTTTCACTGACAGTGTTGCGTCAAAAGACACGGGATGTTGCTTGAACATTGAACACCTTCAAAGAAAGGCCCCTTGAGCCACCGCATGTCAAATAATATGTCAGAAATATGTAGAAAATATGCCAGATAGAATGTCAGAAACACATGCTTTAAGGTTGGTGGGGATCACCCGAAGAAATCCAAACCAACATCTGTATCACATTTTATATATATATATATATAAACATGAATAAACAATTACACATATCTGTCCTCATGTACTCTTATTTTTTAAATCATAAACTGACTGGTTTCCTATGTGTGGACCGTTGTTGGGGTTACGCATACATACACGCACAGCACGTGCAACCACACCTATGTTTGAAACCCTGCTGTGCTCATTTGGGTATATGTTTTTTTTTGGGAGGTGATGGATGTGGGAGCTGAAAACATTTGCCCGGTTGACACAGCCATTTGGCTGTCAGTCCCATGTCAGAGTGCGCGAGCCATTCAAATCTATGTCAGGGTCTGCCATCAAATGGTAGGAAATATTTGCAAATAGCAAAAATCATGTTTGAAATCAGGTAAGCCATCACGTACCACAAGTCCGAGTGGGTGCAATGATGGGCCCCCACCAGTCACATCATGTTTCATGTACAGCCAAAAAAAAGGATACAGAACCCAACCTAAACCATCTAAGGGCAAATCATTCACCCTTTCCTGCTGAGGGCTGCTTACATTTTTTTCGCTCACGCCGTGGCTTCCGTAGAGAAGCAGCGTAGAGAAGCAATTGCTGAGTCCTGCCAGGTGCCACGGTCCCCCTTGCACATCTGAGTTAAGGTGTGGAAAAACACAGGGTTCCTTCCAGTTGTTTGGGTGGTGATGCCACTACATCATCCGTTAGTGGAAACACCAAAGAAAGGTAGTGCCTAAAAGATCCTAAAAGGAAAACATGGCATCCTATTGCGTAGGCTCAGCAGTGGTCTAGTTGACAAGATTCGCAAACTACCATTCCAGATTGTTTGTTGCAATTCTGCAGCATTTTGGTTTTTTCAGCTTGGCGCTCTAGTAAAACCTGTGTTGCCTCATGGCTGACTTGCGGCTTCACATGAGCGTGTGGAAGAGTTGCAGTTACTAGGTTGCGTTTGCTAGACTTGTTTCTAATATTTTCTAATTGCGTTGAAATCATGACATCTTACAATTAGCAACAGTTTTTTTTGCTGCCATCCAAGGACCGGGGAAGGTTCCGTGGACGGAGCAAGACGTTTTTGATCACGCTGCAGCTGTCAAATTGTCCCTACCGGTTACGGTCAAAGAGTTGATTCAATCACCTGAGTGGAAAGGTGGGCCCCTGATTCAACTTGAGAATGACGTTTCCCGGCCCACGGCCGATGATTGCATTCTCAACTATATCTGGTTGCGGCCATTTGTTTCCAAGTTTCCTGAAACCGTATGTTCGGGTTACTATGCAGCTGATGTCTTCAGAGCTTTGGACGTTTACTTGGAAAACAAGCTTCTCCAAAGTTCAGACCCCATGGACACAAAGAAAAGTATGGCTTTGGACGAGGGAGGCAAAATGAAACGGCTGATGGGGGGCTTGCGATACCTTTGGCGCAGTAGTGGCTCAGTATCCACAAATTGGGATATACAATTTCTATTGTTTTGTGTCCCGTTATAAAAGCTGTTAGGTGAATCCCATCAAACCAGAATACCACAATATACTACATATTACTTTCCGAACTTATTACCATCCTTTCCACTTAGGCAAGAGCGGCAACCATCCTCGCATCACCGAGATGAAAAGCCTTTTGAAACTGTCTCCCAGGGCTGAGGTGGGATTTTGGGATTATCTTGAATTAAATTTAGAAGCCTAAGCAGGATACATAGTAAGCAAAATTCATACCTTTGTTTTGGGAGAAAAAAACCTTATTGGCATCTAATACACCTGGACAGGCACGTCGACGAGAAGCTGCAGATGAACGTGAAAGTGATGATAACATGGGTGAGCCACCCCAGGCTGTTGACGCAGTTGTGGAGGCTTCTTCGGACCCTGAGAGCTCTGATGGTGAAAATGATGGTGAGAATGATGGTGAGAATGATGGCGAGGAGGATGGTGAGAATGATGGTGAGAATGATGGTGAGAATGATGGTGAGAATGATGGTGAATGTTCTTCTGATGACCCTGCCAACGCACCCACCTTGAGGCTTGGTGAATGTGATTCCCAGGAAATGCCTGCTTTGACGGATGACCAGTCCGAGGGAGCGACAGGGGGTGATGAGGCAGAAGACATGGAGGAAGATGGGGATGGTGCTGGAGAAGGGTCAGGGGTTGATGAGGGAGCGGAGGAAGAAGAGGGAGCTGAATCTGGGGAAGATCAAACTGATGATGACGTGGTGGGACATGATGACAGTGGACACGCTGATAACATGGGTTTGGTTGACCCCCAGTTCAATGACCCATCGAAGAACGAGTTGTTTGAAGTGCCTTCTTCCGGGAAGAAAGTCATTGAGGATCGAAACAAGGTTACTGAGTTGTGCATGGACCTGATGAAGTACTGGAAGACCCATGACCCTGCCATCCTGAAGACCCTTAGCTGTTCAGAACCATAAATTCAGAGGACCACAGCCCTTCCAATTTCTTTTCATCTGTTTTCAACCACATATAGTATATATATATATATATCAGTATGATGTTCAATCTTCAAAGCCTAGGACCTGGTACCTGACGGACTATTTGCAGCATTGTGAGTTCGGGTTCCACTACTTTGGCAGGGAAGCTTGCAAGTGGTTGTGCACCCGAGAGCATTTCGATCTTTGGCTGTCCCGTTTTCGAAGCACAAGCAACAAAATCCCGGCCCAGGCTTGTAGCCTTCATGACCATTCAAAATGTATGACACGACGTTCGAAACATACATGCCTGGAATCTGTTTCTTGCTTTTCTTATTTTGGGAGGCCCGTGCACCTGAGGGTGTGCACATGTGCACCAAGAATCCCAACAAGCGACCAGCTTCCGAGCAGGCCCCCAGCGTTGTCCTTTGTCCACTCTTTCGGGTGTTGATCTCCTTCTCAATCTAGTTGAGCCACACAACCTGACAGGCTGGCGGAGAGTTAAAAAGCTGATGGAGCAGGACCCCCGTGCTCGCAAGGCCAAGGGAAATGGATCTGAACCTTCTGGAACCCCGATGCTGGTTACACCGCCCCACTATGCATCGGCAGCTAGGGCCATTGATGACATGACCCCGTCGCCAGTGGGCATGCAGTCAGTACTTTGGATGTATACTATTCCATGCATACTGAAACAGTTCAAGATTTAAAATAGTACCAAAGGGTAGCCAGGGCTAGGTAGATTTATCACACACACATGCACTCAGGCGAATGGAATGAAGAAATTCAAGGAGGCTGGTTCTTCTGCCGCTGGTGCGTTGCCCAAAGGTGGAAAGGTGGCCAAGTGCGACCCTGAACCAGAACCTTTTGAACGATCCCTTTATGATATGCCCCAATGGGACCATGACTTCAAGGGTTACGACCTCAAAGCCCTTGAGATCCCTCGTGATGCCTACCCCCAAGATCGTCCAAACCTTGGCAAACATGGCTATACCCTGGTATCCCCTCACACAGGGGCAGTACTTCGACTTGGATTTCAAACAGTTTTTCAGTGTATGTTGCATGTTTGGGAAGCCATATGTCTTGAGGGGCATCCAGCTGTCGTTCTTTGGAATAGTGTCTTGGGCAATCACCCAGGTATAAACAAGCACACACACATATGCAAATGTAAGCATATGATATTAACATATATATATATATATGCACATAACATATATATATATATATTCGGTTATACAAATCATTGTCTACATATATACACACATATATATGTATACACATATCGACCGAGTGCATGCACACCAGTATCTATGCAGATGCATGTATCTACATTTCGTATCCCATGTATCTTTATATGTTTTACGTATGTAGATGTGCACTGGCAATCTATATAGGTATAAGATAGCTGCACACTATCTGGAACAACCATACTCCAAGGCAATTGAAGTCTTGCTGAACAAGCGAGCTTTCGTGGTGAAGCGGATTGGAGACCCAGACACTGCTGGCCAAGGAGCATCCAAAGGTCAGGTGACTTGGAACACAAACGGAGGTGTGCAGACTGCCTGGGCATTCGCAAAGCGAAAGGCTCACTGGGGGAAACTCCCTTCCAAGCGCTGAAGCAATGGGCACAGCATTCTGTTGCGAATGCGTCAGTTCCTATATGGGCTTTGGCTCCTACCATGGCTCATGACCAGGGATAGTGGCAGAGGCTTGACTGATGGAAATCCAACCCTGGGTCCAAAACATTTTTAAAACATGTTATTGAAACATCATCCAACCCTGAGTCCAAAACATGTTTAAAACATTCATTTTATTGAAACATATTTTTTGATTGCTGTTGCGGCCCATGTCACCTTGGTCTAATGGCCGTGTGAGCTACATCGTAGGTGCTTCTGGGGATTATGACTGGAAGATGGTTCCATGTCCACAAGAGCGATTCCAGAGCAAAAGAATCAAAATGCAGTCATGTATCAATCGGGCGGCTTGTAAGCAACGCTGTGAAAGCTAGCAGCACCAAGCCAGTCAGTTTGGCGAGCCCATCTATCCTCAGATAGCAGCCCACGCAGGTGCACTGTGACCAGCTCAAGAAGACCAAGCTGGAGGTGGCAGGCCCAACAGCTGTGGCCAATTTGAAACGTATGGCCCATGTTCTGAAACAATATGGTTTCTTTTGGTCATGCTATTTTATGACAATTATTAAGAAAAGAGATCCAACATCGTTGTTGATGCATGTGACGATTTGGTTGTAACTAGGAGTATGCCTTGGGTTGGCCTACCCAAATCGAGTCAACGTTTGGTGCCACTTTGTGGGGTAGGGCCAAGAGGAAATTTGGTAGAACATCCCACATGATTTTTGCAGCTATCAGGCATTGAAATTAACACCTCCACCAGGCCCACAGTCAGCTAGGTTAAACATTGAACCACGCATGCAGGCTGTTATTGACGAGCTCTTCGGCGTCTTTCTTGGGTTCTATCGTTGTTTGAGGCCCGGCTGGGCAATCTGCTTGCTTTCTGATAGGGGTTGGGTTTGTGGTTTATGCAAATTTGTTGGGAACCCATTAGGGCACCAATGGCCCATAAGAATCCACCTTAAACTACTTAAAACCACCCCAGTGCCTAAAAGAAACCCTCAAAATCTGTAGGGGAACCCATACTGAGAGATGTCACCCCGTCAGCGTGCTTGCAGGCCCACCCTTCGATCTCCAGGTCACGTTGTGAGCAGGACAGCGCAGGAGGGTGCCCAGGTAAGCAATCTACACCGTATTTCAACAAAATAGCAAAGCTGTATGCATAACCAAACACCACTTATGGGTATCATTGTTTTGTTTGAATGAAAACATCACTCCATGGAAACATCGGAATTCATAATGTGTTTGGAGGTGTATCCAGTGTTCAGATGGACTAGCTGCACCAAGTGACACACAAACTGGATGGATATAGTTTTACCCCACCTGATTTTGGGTATGCTGATTAATTAATATGGGTATGTTTCGTTTTGAGGGCTAGAAAGGGTACCACAGTTTGAAATATCACCAATCTTGGTTCATACCCATCACATGTATTGAATTCCTCACTGGGATTGATCAGTGCTATCTACCACCATATCGCTTGCAGGACAGCCAGTTGATTGTATTCAACAAACGTGATGGCCTTGGCTGCCAGCGGTTAGGTTCATTTTTTATTGGGTTGCGAATGCAGCAGTTAAATTTGAAATGAAGGTTATCACCAAGTGAAGTTTCGAACAGATTACCCGAAGTCAAATATATGTTATTTGCATCATGTTTATTTATGTCTTGGGAACCTCAGCCCCTATTGCAAGCAGGTAACTGTGTAGCCACACCTCCACCCGAGATCCAGCCAGTGTTTCCAATCATTCTTCTTCTCCCAGGCCATAGTTGCAAAAATTGGCAAAGCTCTTCCTGCAGCAGGTGGCCCCGGCTTTGTTGTCCAGTAGCTTGGTGGAGTGGGTCTTTCCTTTTCAACAAACTTATCACTTTCAAAATTGAAGTTCGGCTAGGATGGCTTGAGTAGCTTTCTTCACGGGTGTGATGCACCTGAAGCCTTCATAGCAGTTGAATCTCAAGACCCGTGATTGGCCCAGCTGTCTTTCATCATGACAAAGCGTTGTGCCGGCGAATGTCAGGAAGGGAAACCAAACCATGCCCTTCAAAGGTGGCAGCCGACCCAAGCCACAGTCCTGGAAGCAGCGCCAGAAGAGCTGGGTCATGTCGGGCCTCAAGAGCATGCGTGCTCCCATGGCCGGGCTTGTTTGTTGAAAGTTTTTAAAAGGTGTATTATTTTGGCAAATCGCTTACTTAAGCACAGGATACTGAAAGGATCACCCACACAGTAACTGGTTGATAGTTTTGGGGTCATACAGCATTCTAAGATTTGGCAAGGGCTTTGCACCAGTTACAATGGGGTGACCATCCAACTTTCTTACACCCCCAAAAGCGTGGTTATGCATCAGGCATGTGGGGCTTCTGTTCTTCTTTGGGCAATCAATATTTAATGTTTGTAAGCGTTGGATAGTTTAAAGGAAGCAATCCAAATGAAAAATGGGGTCAAGTGGTACCTGGTTGAACCAATGATGTGCTTAACACCGTGTTTATATAATATAAAACTATAAAACTAAACATACTAGATGTACTGTACCTGAGAAGGGGGGACGAATGCCAGCCCCTAGCCGGAGTCTTTTTTAAGCACATTATCTATAAATATATATATATATGACACAACTTGCCTGCATGCTCCTTTTTTCCCACTTGTCCTTGCTTTGCAACCCTTCGCCACTCCTTCCTCGGTATCACTCCTCATCCCCTTGCAAACTGTCTTGCTCCGAACCCCAACGGACGCTGCTCTCCGTTGAGCTTCGGATCCTTAGTTCCCCACCTGCCAGGTGAGGGTTGTTAGATTTTATCAGAGTTGTTGCCCTCCTCCTCCTCGCCATCCTCGTCCTCGTCCTCCTCCTCCTCCTCCTCCTCGCCTCCTCGACCATGTCTGCATCAACTTCCACCTCAACTTCCGCCTTGCCAACTCTTCGCCAAGCTCTTCGCCAACTTCCCAGCTCAGTGTGCACCGCTGGACCTCAACCTGGGACCTTCCCAGCTCAGTGTGCAAATTGTTTTTTTCATTTTTTCATGTAAGATGCTGGATCAGATCTAAAAAGTGTGTGACCGCTTCCAATGCTTGCCCTACTGTGACTGTTTCAGCCAGTGGGGGACAGCTGCTGCAGCTGGGCATTGGAAAAGAATAGTAAATGGAGATGCTGGATCAGATCTAAAAAGTGTGTGACCGTTTCCAATGCTTGCCCTACTGTGACTGTTTCAGCCAGTGGGGGACAGCTGCTGCAGCTGGGCATTGGAAAAGAATAGTAAATGGAGATGCTGGATCAGATCTAAAAAGTGTGTGACCGTTTCCAATGCTTGCCCTACTGTGACTGTTTCAGCCAGTGGGGGACAGCTGCTGCAGCTGGGCATTGGAAAAGAATAGTAAATGGTTTCTTTGAATCCCCTTTCTACCCTTATAGGATGTTCCAGATAGAGTGCCAGATAGAATGCCAGATAGAATGTCAGAAGATATGCCAGAAGATATGCCAGATAGAGTGCCAGAAGATATGCCAGAACAGATTGCAGAAGATATGCCAGCTAGAATGCCAGAAGATATACCAGATAGAATGCCAGAATCTGCCAGAAGATATGCCAGATAAAATGCCAGAAGGTATGTCAGATAGAATGCCAGAAGATATGCCAGTAACAAAATGTATGCATGTCATGGTGGGGATAACTCGAAGTAAAGTATTTTTCAATATGCTTGCCTCTATGTTCCTAGCTTTTTCAAAGCTTTGCCTTTGCTCCATGTCATGCCTTCTTTTTTGTGTACTGTATATGCATTTAATTATGTACACATATATATATATATAAATACACATTTAAACGTTACACAGGATTATCCCTGGCGTGGGGCCCCAAAAAATTCCCCAGGTGGTGCTTACTCTATGCAGCCTGCTGTTCAACCAGCCCACGGTGTCATGGAACGAGCCTACAGAACATCTAGAGTTGTTTGCAGGTGTATGCAGTATCTCGAAGGGAGAGTGGCAGGTGGGAGTTGGAAATTTTCCAAAGAAAAGATCACAAAATATAGTTTCAGGAAACACACAGTTTGGGAAAGACTCAAGGATTTTGTGATTTTTCTGGACTATTTTTCAAAAGCATCTTCTAAGCGATCCCCTTTCTAGGGTCCCTTTAATGGTACCCTGTGGTGGCTTATCCAAAAGAATCTGAACATACAAATTCTTGCAACCTTAGCTGGTGGCATACAAAGGTTATCTTAACAAGTTTCACAAGACAATTTCTGGTTAACATGGTTCCTTTGAGCCTTTGCATGCTTGTCAGGCGAAACGCAATGGCATTGCTATGGATGTGACCATTGGCGGTGGCCAGCACGACATTATGTCAGATGTTGGCTATTCCAACACCTTGTTTCAATGCTTGAACCTTCGGCCTGGAACAGGGTGTTGGTTAGCACCTGTTTGTTCGACATGGGTGTTCATGACCCTCTGCTTGCGTTTATGTCCAAATTCATTTTATTTTTGCCCAAGAGTTCTGCGGTGGGACCATTGCCAATTTTTTTTTTGACCTAGTATAGTCACCTCTTACCTCGGAATTCAAAACTTGAGGTCGCGTGGCAGCACCGGTAGATCAATTCAAAGACCACTAGGTTGGCAGGAAGTGCCTTGTGTACATCAAGCTAACGTGATGATAGCTCGAGTTTGCATCTTGCTGATGGTCCTCCAAGCAAAACGGATTTGGTGGTGCTTAGAGCAACCATGCAACTCATTGCTTGAACAACACCCCATGTTCCAAAGGTTCTTAACCATGGCGGGTGTCTCTGTTCGTCGGTTGTCAACCAAGCTTCTGTGGTTTGGTGGCCCTACGCAGAAGCCCACTTGGATATACAGCAGCCCCTTTGATTCCCAAAGAGTGCACATTTTGAGCTATGTGAGGTGGTAAGCCCAACAATAAGTTTACTACTTATGGGTATTTAAGCATCAGAAGTATTCATGGTATTGTCGACTGGGGATGGTTTATTGTTGGGTTTGCCACGATATGACTGAGTTGTTCATGTGAAACATGCAACCCCAGGGCCTCAGCCCACCCATCAACTATTTGGTTTAGTTTCCACATGTCCTGCAACCTGCTGCCCAGGTCACCCAGAAATCGATGCTCTCAACGAGTTTGCCAATCGAAGCGCCATGCCTGATGCTGGCACAGAGATGGCTCGGTCATACACCGATGGTTCGGGCCGTGCACGGGTCACGGGCGGCAAGGACTTGAAAATGTCGCAGTCTTACCCTGCGGGGTGCCTTGGGTTTCTACTAAGTTCATTGTTTTTGGATTCATAGCAACCCCATCAAAATACATAGAGATATATGAGGGTATTCATTGGAACAAATAAATCTATATATATAGCCGCAAATCAACATTATTGCATCAAAAGGAAACCTGGGCTGTTTGATTCTTGGCACATTGGCTAAGATGTGTATAATCTCTGTGTGTGTGCGACTCCACTGTCAAACCTACATGTATATGTGGGCATCCCTTCTTCATCTAAGGCTGGGAAGATCAATGGCCCGTGTGAGAACTCGATTTGCAAAAGCACACCGAAGGGCAGCATCTAAATTTTTGGCAAAGGCTTTGAAAAATCATGAAAAAGCATCCACAAAGTGTGATGCGGCATGGATCAAATCAGCTAATCTCCAGCCTATTTTGCATTTCTTATCCAAATAGCACCGAAAGAAACATTTTGGGTGCTAAAATTCATTTCCTATGCCCTGTGGCAATATCCACATGTTGGCATCTTGAAACATGGGACTAGCTTGGGGAAACAGGATCGGGAATCTTTGTTGAGTGGTTCCACCTGCTGGCAAGATTCTTAAGCAAACTATTGGTCCAATGGTTTAATCACAGTGATCGTGGCTAAATAGCACATCTTGGATGGCTTTGAGGTCCCCCTGTTCCAGAACAGTTCAGCTGCCATCCGATCCTCTTGCCAGTCCTTGCCAGGTCACATGGGAAGGCAAACTTTGAAAAGGTGTCGGCCAGGCTTGTCCACCTGTCCGGCTGCAGCAGTGTGAAATCAGTTTGGTCTATACCATTTTGGATTTTTCCAACAAAAATTGACAATTTCAAACAAAAATCCTGATGCGTCTTGGTGAGAACAATCGTGCGTCTGGGAGCGAACTAGTGCGTCTTGTAGAATCACCTGAAAATTCAGTTTGGTCTGTACCAGTTTGGATTTTTTCCAACAAAAATTGACAATTCGAACAAAAATCCTGATGCGTCTTGGTGAGAACAATCGTGCGTCTGGGAGCGAACTAGTGCGTCTTGTAGAATCACCTGAAAATCTAAAATATTCTGTATGTAGAATCTTGGTATGCAAAAAAGCACGGGCCAACTTCAGCCATTTTTTTGGACAAACCTGACTGGATAGACTGGCTTTTGTGACTGTTTCACCCAATGGGAAAGAAAGGTTCAGGTGAAAACCCTCATGAGGTAGCAAAGGTTCGAAAGAGTGCTTTGAAAAAGCCTGCCACGCTCACCATGGGAAAGAAGCAGGCACCACGGGTGTCCTTTGACCTCAATCCCAGCCTAGACAAGACCGAGACAAAACCAAAGAAGCCTGAAAGGACAGAGCCTGCTAAGGCCTCAGCTTTGAAGAGGGCCAAGAGCACAGCTAACTTGGGGAAGGATCTTGAGACTAGCCCCGGGGCAGCCAAGAAAGCCAAAGCAGCAAAGGCAAAGGAGAGTGGAAAGGAAACAAAGAAGGATTCTTCCACACCAAAGACAAAAGCGAATCCTGGTCCTACTCCACAGAGTTCAGCAGCAGCTCACCCCAAGCCTCCCAAAGTCACCAAAGACTCAAAGGTTGAAAGTGGCTCTTCCAACAAAGGCCCAGCTCCCACAAAGGGCAAACGTCCAGGAAAAGAAGCTACTTTGAACCAGACTGGCTTGGTCACTCCCCCTACCAAGCGAGTTTCCAGAAAGTCACCTGAGGCTCCCTCAGTTGTGTCATCAGCTGCCTCTTCACGTTCTTCAAAGACTCGCACTGCAGAGGAGCTCAGCCGAGCCAAAGCCAGGGCTGAGAAGGCTTTGATGGAAAGAAGCGATTTGGAAGAAGCAGCTCGCGCTGCTGCCGAGGACGCTGAGTTTGATGCTGCAGGCATGGGAGGCTATCTCGAGTTGATCAAGAAGGGCCATACTGAGTCTGGTCGTGACCATGATGCTGATACAAAGGGTGCCATGATGGAGTGCGCCCAAAAGAAAGCTGAGAAGGCCGAGGACGAGGAAGAAGAACAGGAGGAACAGGAGGAAGAAGATGAGGAAGAGGTAGGTAGTGAGGAGGGAGGACAGGAAGAAGACGAAGATGAAGACGAAGAAGATCAGGCAGGAGATGCAGACGAAGGGGATGAAGGAGATGAAGGCAACGAAGATGCTGACCAAGGAGATGAGGATGATGGAGCAGAGAGCGAGGCTGATGAAGACAACGAGCAGGAGGAAGATGAGGAGGAAGCTGAGGAATCAGAGGAGGAAGAAGGATCTGGTGATGATGCCAAGGATGAGAAGACAGGTAGCCAGCCCAAAGTGACATCTGCTGGAAAGCAGCTTGCTGAGGCCATTGATGCCACCAAGAAAGATGCCAAGATGTTGAAAAATTCGAAGACCAACAAGCGCGAGTGGGACAAGTTTACCAGAGAAGCTACAAACAAACGTACCTTCCCAACCTCTCTTTGTGGGGCATACAGGCGCTCCAAAGTCTGTTTGTTCAACACCTGGTTGGAGAACGACATGAGCTGGGAAGCCACTGAGATAGCAGTGGAACGATCTCAGGAGACCAAGAACTTGTGCCGCAATCAAATGGAAGGCGTGCAGGCCAAGGAGTTGAAAAGCAGGTATGGGGAAGAGAAGGCTGGCAAGATTATGGCCGTGCGCCGGGCACAGGGCCTGTACTACCCGGACGATATTTTCGGAGATGACCCAGAGGAGTGGGGGGATGGGTCAGGGAATTAGACACTATAGTCTATAGTCTACATCGCTCTCCACTCACATCTTGAAACTGTGTCATCCAAGTGTTTGGAACTCATGCGCCCAAATTGTGACTGCAAAGGTGTTTACAAACCCAGTTCCATCCAAAGCAGATATGACCAATTCTTAGCTTCTTTTTTTGGCAGGAAACTTGGTACTACATGCCAGCTGGAAAAATTGTTCGCCAAGACAACTTGACCGCAGAGAAGATGACAGCTCGTGCATCGTCTGGTGACCAAGACATGTTCAACGCCATGATTCAGGATGTCTTGCCCTCTGGTGCCGTGCCTGATGTGGCAGCTGCCAACGAAGCAGGGGCCAAAAAGCTTCTGCAGCTCGTTGACAACGAGGCCAGAGCAGTTGCCAAAGCGAAGGCCAAGCCAAGGGCTGCAAAGCCTGGGGAAAGCGAGGCAGTCCATCCGAAGACTGTTCTTGAGTCAGGGGCCCAAGATGTGATATTGAGTACGTGTGTGTGAGAGAATTAGTGTAACAGGATTCTTCTAAAATCTTGTAAAATAGAGTCAAGATGGTTGCAAACTTTGTGCTGTGAAGTCATCCGGCTGTCATGCATAGAGATTGGCACGATAAGATCGATTTCCAGGCCATCACATACACACTTCAGAAGGTGTTTGTTTGTCATACCTCCATTATCGTATCCCAATGTCAAAACCGTTTCAAAGCTCAAATGCATAATACCCTCCGAATCGGAGCTGTTTACATCACCAACCCAGATGTTGTTTTCTTGTTTGTTTATATCAAAGGATTCCAACAATTTCCCAAAACATACCTGATCACATCTCTATGTTCGAAGTTTTTTATCGCATCACTCATCAATGACCGAATCAAACCCTTTAGCCGGAGTTATTTTATCATACCGCCTTTCTGGTCCCTAGTGATGTGCTTTATCACATACCCGTAGCAGAATGATTTTGCCAGGCGACATAATTTACTATCTTGGCCCTAGTAGAGATAAAATTCATTCTATATACCTCCATATTCTAGTTATCTTTAGCCCATCCAAAATCAAAGATGTTGTTCGGGAAATAATGAAATCCTGATACAGTTTCGCCTTATCCAATTCATTTTGAAATTGTTTTGAGACACCACGGTCCAAGATTCCAAGACTCCAAACTTGTCCAAGTCTCATTGCCCCCATCAAGCATCCAATGATCCAGTGCTCCATTCCAGTGCTCTGCCCATCCATCCTTAGGTTGGCCAAGGACAAGGTCATGGGAGTTTTGGACCAAGCGTCCAAAGCTAGAAAGATCAGTTTGGAACTTCAGAACGTGGAATTTGCATCGGAGCTCAGCGGCCAGATGATAAAACATGCCGAGGACATGGAAACCACCTATGTCACACTTTCCAAGCTGACCCAAGGGAACAGCCCTGAGGAGAAACCCCTGAAAAAGATTTTGGCCGAGATTGCAACCAAGGATCAATGGTTTGAGAAAGCAGAGGCCAGGCAATGTCTGACTTCGGTTCTCCTTACTCAACGGTGGCCAGAAGCAAAGCTTAGGGATAAAAGGATATGAACAGATTCAACAAGTATGGTGTGTTACAATGAGGTTCTTATAGATTCATGGGGTTATCCGATTCTTTGCCCTTTAGCTATGTCCTCATCCCTGTGAGCATTAAAACACATGATTCCCCAGTGTCTTCAGTATCATCTAAGGGTTAAGGGTTCCTTTAGATATCCAGCATTGCTGCCTGTTGAAGGCATCTGCTGCCGGGATTTTGCAGAAGATGAGAGCAGCTACCCGAAAAGCAAAGTGCAAAGCGAAAGCGAAAGCAGCCCCAGTCAGCGGGCAATCTTGAGTGTCTCCATGAATGCTCATGGGGTTAGACGTTAGTTGTTGGGTTTTGAAGATGCACACGCTTGCATCGTTAGGGGATTTGTACCTATCGAGAAGGATCGCGCAGCCAAAAAAAAGGTTTGGCAGTCACATTTGGAAACCAGCAAAATTTCATGCCTCTTTTCTTTCTGATTGACAACAGCATTCCGGAGTTTGACGGACCCTTCATTTTCTACATGTTATCACGATGTTTGGCACGATGCATACACGGCGTGTTTTGTCTTCTGAACAGTTGAAGGTTTAGTACTGTATCATACACAGGGGTCAAAAAAATCCTGATGGTATACTTTTTCAGCTACTGGTAAAAATTTGTTTGCTTGGATTCCATCTCGCAGGTCTTGGAAAGTCCAAGAGAAGGCAAAGGCTGGAGGACTTACCGGAAAGCAAAACAGTGACCAAGCTCATCTCGTTGATTGGAACTGGTGGTTCTCATGTAAACGTGGCCCATGACCTTGTTCAAACTGTTCGGGATGATGGCTTCGACAACCCTGCGCTAGCAACCTTTGCTTCATGTGGAGCATATGGTCGACACGATGCAAACACAGAGCGTGATCTGTTGAGATGGCTACGGGGTCTCTGGGGGGTCCATTTGGAACCATATGAGATCAAACTACAATTGCAGGCTTGGTTAGTGAGCCAATTTTTTTGCTGTACTTCAATTTGAAGCTGTCTTTCACAAGAGCGAAACTAAAAGGGTTTTTTAGCGATGAAGATGTGCACCCAAAAGGACAACGCAATTCTATGTCACCCAGGGGGACCATACCCCGTCCATCATGCTAGACCGCAAACCTGTCAGGTGAATTACTCTGACCAGCCAGAGCTGGTTCCAGCTTATGTCCTACTACCTCACGAAGTGCTGCATGCGGTGAGTCAGGCCAAGCAACAGGCCAAGGGTTGGAAACTTATTCTTTGGATGGTTTACCTAGACCCATCATTTTGACATATCCTGTTTGAACCCTGGCAGTTCAAGTCGGTGATGATGGGTGAATACAGTTCTCAGGGTGTATCAAATTTCTGGAGACATGTGAAAACCTTGGATGCATGGAAGCATCACACCGTCATCCACGAACTCAATGATGACGAACTGAGCCACATGATTCCGTGCAACATCCACGGGGATGGTGCTGAAATGTTCACTGACGACGAGTATTTTGTTTGGAGTTGGTCATCGGCATTTTCATCATCATCGCTGACATCTGATGTATTGCTTCATCGCTTTCCCATAGCAGTTGTAGCCGAAAGAGAAATGCTTGATGACAATGTTTTTTGGCTTTTCATAGAATGATTCTTTTGTTTCTGGATAGGGTGGAATGTGAAGCACAAAACATAGACTTGCAGGTGACCCTTGAAATCCTTTTGCCTGCTCCGCTCTCTCAGGTACGGGACTTGGTGAATGAGACCATTGCCAGAATCACTGCTTGGTCTCTGAAGCATGCAGCTTCCGGGAAGGCACCGACACATGGGTATTACGGTGAGAAGTTTGCGCCAAATTCTTTCAGATCTGGCCTAGCAGGGAAAACGTTAGCAAACAACTACAAGATACTGGGCTGTTGTTTGGTAACTTCATTGGATGCTAAGTTTTCAGGGTTCGCTGTTCAAATTTGATCTTTCTTGTTTAGAGGTTTACTGTATACGGAGTAAGGATGTGCTACCTCGGATTCAAAGCAGACCTAAAGGCCCGCAAGCAATGCCACCGATTTGATCGATACTACCAGTGCAAGCTCTGCTGTGAACGCTGTGATGCAGTTCAAGTACGGACGAATGAAAACCACAGAATGTCTTACAAGAACATGTCCTCATCAGCGCCATACTTACAAACAATCATGGACCATGATGAGTTTGTGCAAAGAGCACATCGCATCAGCCCATGGGCTGATGTTGTAGGTTGGCAGGTTGAGAACTGTTTCTTCGATTTCATGCATCTTGCCTATTTAAGCACGTGCCGAGGGCATATTCCATCTGTGCTCAAACTCCTACAATGCAAAGGGTACTGTTATGAACCCGGTGAATCGGATGACTTGTTCTTGAAGAGAACCAGCATTGAAATGAGGGAAACCTGCAGAAAGAATGGGTGACCTGTCCAGCATGCTGTGGTCAAGTTGTTTTTTCTTTTGTAGGATGTTAATACCATTCTCCTCCTTCAGTGTGTTTCCGTGGTGCATGCAATGTGCATCAGGCTATACTTACCACGTCGCGTCTTATCTGTGGCTAACTGCGGAAGTTTTGGCCACGAGGAGTATCCCGAGCTTGGAACCAGGTTCAAAGCGGCCCATATCAAGATTATGTGCTGGTGGATAGCTGTCAAAGTGCAAGAACTTGCAAGAGATTCAGAAGCTCAGCATTTAAAAACACGGCCTCATTTTTCCACATTACCTGTCATTATTGCATTGCTTCCACGGGTATGGCAAAACCAGGTATCTGTCAATTGGTGTTCGAAAAATGAACTGCTAGTGATGCTAGTGGAAGGTCCATCCTACAAAACAATGGTCCCTTTTTGAGCTATCCTCACTACGCGTATCAACTTGTTCGGGGTGTAGCCTGGGTATGACGGGGTGCAACATCTAGAATAAATCATGGGGGTTAGATACAAATACATGAGGTTACATAACTGGTTTATTATATGGGGTTATGATTTTAAAACCTTGGACAGTATCAGCCACTTGCCCACCAGTCCGTCTCAGCCAAGACAAGCTTCACAGGATGATCGAATCCTTCAGCTCCTCGAGATGTGCACATATTCCTTGGCAAGAGCCATTGAACTGATGGACCACAATGGGTTGATCATGCCAGAGTCAGATGCGGCAGCGCCGTGGTTATCTTATTCATTTTGATTCTGATGTTGGGGGAAGAGTCATTGTTCCCCGAAAAGACGAAATTGCTTTACTTCGAGTTATCCCCACCATGACATTTATACATTTTGTTACTGGCAAATCTTTTGGCATTCTATCTGACATACCTTCTGGCATTCTATCTGGCATATCTTCATGGCATTCTAGCTGGCATATCTTCTGCAATCTGTCTGGCATTCTGGCACTCTATCTGACATATCTTCTGGCATATCTATCTGACATTCTATCTGGCATTCTATCTGGCAAATCTTCTGGCATTTTATCTGGCATTTTATCTGGCAAACATTCTGGCACTTTATCTGGCATACCTACTGGCATTCTATCTGACATTCTATCTGGCATACCTTCTGGCATTCTATCTGGCATATCTTCTGGCATTTTATCTGGCATATCTTCTGGCATTCTATCTGGCATATCTTCTGGCACTCTATCTGACATATCTTCTGGCATACTATCTGACATTCTATCTGGCATTCTATCTGGCATATCTTCTGCACACTAGCTGGCCCCAGTTGAGGTCCAGCGGTGCACACTGAGCTGGGAAGGTCCCAGGTTGAGGTCCAGTGGTGCACACTGAGCTGGGAAGTTGGCGAAGAGCTTGGCGAAGAGCTGGCAAGGCGGAAGTTGAGGTGGAAGTTGATGCAGACATGGTCGAGGAGGCGAGGAGGAGGAGGAGGAGGAGGAGGAGGACGAGGATGGCGAGGAGGAGGAGGGCAACAACTCTGATAAAATCTAACAACCCTCACCTGGCAGGTGGGGAATAAATCCAAGACAGTTCCTTACAGGATAAATTTGATTCTGGGCCCTGAAGATGGTGGAATCTGTTGCGGTTAAACTACCTGTTGTATCTGTATCGCAATTTTGACTATCAAGGGGCATGGTCTCACAAAATGTGATCCACCACAAAAAAGTATCACCACAGTTGGGGCTTTGTTTTGAATTTGGAGGCCCCTGGAACCCAGTGACAAAGTTTTGATCTTGTGGCCGACCTAAGCTTTGGGTCCCAAGGAGTTTACCTATAACATGATGGTTCACTTGCGATCCACCGAAATCTTGGCGGGTCATTGCTGGGAACATCAACTGATGGCCTTCAAGATGAGACCCAAGCACCATTGCCTTTTACATTTGGCCATTGAGGTACAGTGCACAAAATTAAATCCAAAGTCGTACCATGTTTTTGCTGATGAGTCGTTCCTAGGGAAAGTTAAGGCTATAGCCCGGAAATGTCATGGGCGAAGCATGCAGAAACGTGTGCTTGAAAGATGGATCCTTTCCTTAAGTTTGTTTTTGCGCTGTGATGACTGATAAGGTTACCCAACGTGCCATGCATACATTACATACACATCAAGCTACAAAACAAAGCGCAGTTTGGCTGCCACCGTTTCTTCAAAGAGGACAGTGCAAAAACTGGGGTGTTGCAAAGGGAAAACCCTTTTTGGGGTGCCAAGCCAAGAGGCCAACACGGCCAACGTAGTTTGGATAGCTGCGCAGTCAGCAGAAAAAAACAGAATCTGCACATGGCTGCACGTTCCACGCGGTCAAAGGGTGTTGCAGTGAAGCTTGAATTCAAGACTCTAGACACTTCAATTTTCCTGGCGTATGTTTGTGCTACCTTTGTCTACTCTTACGAATCACCTTTTGAAGTAGATAAAACCTATATCTACTTTTAAGAATCACCTTTGTGCTATTATATTACTATAGTTCTCAAGAATCAGCGGCTACTAAAACCTTAAGCGGCTGGCATGGCCGGCGATGATCTTGACGCGTGTGATTTTCCCATCATACTTGGGGTTGCAATTTCCCATCATATTTGGGGCTGCAGCTTTATTAGTGGGCAGCTACGTACCTATAGTTACAAAGGTATAGTACCCTATAGTACCCCCGCTAGTGGTAATTATTTTTTTTTCTCGTCATACCCATGTTTGGCACCAACTGCAACCCTAAGTATGGCTTATATATGACCCATTTGGACACTGACCCGTGGATATAAGAAGAAGCAAGTAAACATACCCAAAAGAGAGTGGCAACCTTTCTTGTCTGTTAGAAAGTTTCCAGTGCATGACACTTCTGTTCAAGATATGGATGCCTAGTCATTTGATCAAAAATATTTGGCTGAATTTTTCCCCATGGCGTGGAGCATTGTCCCGAGTAAAGGACCATGCAGTCTTGTTACGCTCCTAAATGCGCTGCTTCGACATTGCCAAGGTATCGACTTTGTAGCTAGCCCATGGCTGCTTTGAGCTGTCAGCAGGATGCATGCAATATAATTGGCATCCGCTGTCCATTGGTCGTGAAACCCTACCTGCAGTGTCGATATACGAAGTGCTGCACCTGTCACACAAAATCAGCTTAGCAAACCTGAAAATCTGATGCTCCAAAATGCAACCCCTCTCAGGAAATCAGCGCCCTGACCTGGTCAACGAGCATGGGCTCCCCATGTTGGCAGGTGCCCACCATTGGTCGTTTAAACCCTACCGATGTCTGTGGTAAAGGAGCACGGGTCGTATGTAAACCCTCATGTTGGCAGGTGCCGACCATTGGTCGTTTAAACCCTACCGATGTCTGTGGTAAATGAGCACGGGTCGTATGTAAACCCTCATGTTGGCAGGTGCCGACCATTGGTCGTTTAAACCCTACCGATGTCTGTGGTAAATGAGCACGGGTCGTATGTAAACCCTCATGTTGGCAGGTGCCGACCATTGGTCGTTTAAACCCTACCGATGTCTGTGGTAAATGAGCACGGGTCGTATGTAAACCCTCATGTTGGCAGGCGCCGACCATTAGTCGTTTAAACCCTACCGATGTCTGTGGTAAATGAGCACGGGTCGTATGTAAACCCTCATGTTGGCAGGTGCCGACCATTGGTCGTTTAAACCCTACCGATGTCTGTGGTAAATGAGCACGGGTCGTATGTAAACCCTCATGTTGGCAGGCGCCGACCATTGGTCGCTTAAACCCTACCGATGCCTATGGTAAACGAGCACGGGTCGTATGTAAACCCTCATTGCTCTTTAACATCCTATTTATTTTACATTGTATGCTTCTGCATCCATTCTCTTTTTCTAACATTATTTCTATGATTCTATCTCGAATCTCTTTTACAGTTTGAAAAAAATGACAGCTATCCTGGATTCTAAATGTAGGGTTTAAACGACATGCACATAAACCATAGACATCGGTAGGGTTTAAACGACCAATGGTCGGCACTTGCCAACATGAGGGTTTACATGCGACCCGTGCTCGTTTACTACAGGCATCGGTAGAGTTTTAACGACCAATGGTCGGCATCTGCCAACATAGTGCTTTGTTGAAGCGACCTACATGTCGGTTGCCTTGACAAAGTTGCGGGCTTGAGAATAAAAATTAGACTTTGATGAGACAAGTTCAACCATCTATACTTTCAGGGTATAGCTCTATGCGAACAGCCGACATCGTCATATTCAAATGACACCGTATGATGCCACATGTTGATCCTCATGTCCCTTGGGCGCTGTTGGATTGTCTAGGTGGTGGATGGGTGCGAGTTCACGAAAGGCCTCGTGAGGAGCTTTTCCAGATTTCAAGCACTGATTTTCCAGGTGAGGTCACAGCGGTCGGGCAGCGACGCGTGACTGTCGGTCAGTTTCTGACCGGGGAACCACTAAAATGGGAAGATACGAGATCGAGTGATCCCTGGGTTTTCAAAGGCCGTCAGTGGGTCGGAGAGACTCGTTTCTTCGACAAGTCTTTCAGAGGGGATGAGACTCCCTGGAGATCGACTATCACTGAGCCCGTCTGCCACATAGTCGAGGTGCCGGGAGGAATCGAGAAAATGGCTGAGGCCACTCCAACGGACTTCTATTATGGAGAATTGCGGAAATCACTGAGCAGGCGGTATCCGGAGGCGAACCGCTTTCTCCTTGACCACTTGGTTTCTTTAGAAGCCTTTTTAGACAAAAGCATCATCTTTGGTTTCAGTTACGGCGTGGCCAAGGCAGAGCTCTGCAGCACGGGCGGCAGGTTGCTTGGCCATTTGGTGGGCAGGCACGGGACTGCTCCAGATCCGGAGCGGTCCCAGGCTGTCAGCGACTTCGCGCCGTTGAAGGAGAAGCTCCACATCCAACAATTTTTGGGATGTACTAACTGGCTGCGGACGTATCTGCCGGCAGAATTTGGGCACTGCGCCAAGGTGCTCTCCAAGTATCAGAAACCTGGAGCGCCATTTCCGGAGGGTGGTCTGGGCAGCG